TAAAAACAGAGAGGGGGGGGTTTGAGAAAGGAGGGGTTTTTTTTTTTTTTTTTTTGGGAAAATTTTTTTTTTTTTTTTTTTTTTTTTTTTTTTTTTTTAAGTGGAAGATAATCCTGTTCGTTTCTTGTTAGGTTTGATTATGCAAGATTACTCTGGGTTCACTTCCTGAGCTCTTAACTCCACCCCATCCTTCCCTTTGCTAGCCGGACCCCCTCGGTGGTCCCCGGACCCCATCTTGGGAACCCTCGGGGACTGAGCCATCCCACTCCGCAGGCTCCATGCTACTATTGTCTTACCAGGGAGCGGGCTATTTGCGAAATAAAGGCAGCCTCCTGTCTCTGTGTTGGCCGCTATGAGGGGCGATACCCGGTGAGTCGCTGCCGGGTTTTACTGTGAGGCTGAGCGGCTAGCATCAGCGACACTCCTCCGCTGCTTTCCCCGGCGCACAGTCTCTGCGTCTCGGCGGTCGGATGCTGGAAGTCCTCGCCGATCAGGGAGCGCGTCGGGCCCGGAGTGAGAGGAGAGAGGGGACGCGGAAGAGAAAGGGGTGGGAGGGAGCACAGGATACAGGGACATTTAAAAAAAAAAAAAAAAAAATCCAAATCAGGACACATGTTGAGCTAACGGGCCGCTCCACCTCCCTCTTCTCCTCCCAAATGCATTTCTTGCCTCAGTCGCTTTCCCGTTGCTAATTACTCCGGATTTTAAAAAGAGAGTAAAAGGGAAGCCAGCGGGTCTCCTCTTCGGCTTTAAAGATCCTGGCTCGCCGCTTGGACGGACTACCATGGATCTGAGCAAAATGGTAAGTTCTCAGTGAACAGACTATATTTAAAGGAAAACAGCCTTGTGATGAAAATGTATTTTTTTTTTTTTTTTAAGCGGAGGTTGAGGGGGTGGTGTCCAGGAAATAAGTCCTGCTGCACACATGTAGGATCAGGGCTGGTTGCATGTAAGAGTTATTATGGCTCTCTGCAAGCTGGGACTTGTTGTCTGCTGCTGATTTGTAGCTGGCCGTGGGAAGTTGGGGTGTTTGTTGTGTAGGAGAAACGCGTGAGCTGGTCCTCGTAGGGTCCATATGAAAACGTGGGAGTGTTTACTTTAATCATGGTTGGGGGACTTGAATCACAAGCTTCTTATTACTGGGTGTAGAAGCTTTAAATATGAACATCTGGACCTTTAAATGTGCAGCTTTACACAGCAGAAATTAAGATTGCTCTTGTGCTGGAAGGAGAAAATGCCTAGAAGCTTATTTTAGGTGCAATCTGATAACTACTGGATCCTTAAAGGTAACCCAAAACGCTTTGTATATATAAAAATCTTTTTTTTTTTTTTTGGTCCATATTTAGCCAAGCTGAGAGTTCTGGATGATTAAGAAAAGTATTTGCAATCCTTTATGATTTATTTATTGGGGATTTGTCATACACCCATACAGAGCAAGATGTATTAAGCTGGGTTTTCAAATTGATTTCAACAAATAAAAATCTGTACAGTGTGGCATGCATTTGAATTCAGCTCCTCCTGCGTCACTAGGCAGTAGAGCCGCCTTTCGCAGCAATGCAGCTGCAATCATATTTGCCATCTTTGTATATCTAGACTGACTTTAATGCCAGTTTTTCTTTTGTAAAATAAACCAATTTCAAAACTTGCCATAATTTCTTAATAGGTTGTTGTTCTGGACTTTGACTAGGTCATGCTAACTCATACACTGATGCAAACCATTTCAGTTCTGGCAGTAGCTTTAGGTTATTTGACGTGTTTCTCTCGTGGGATTACCCGTCTTTACCTCCATGTACCATCCCATATCTGACCAACTCGTACTCTGATGAAAAGCATTCCCATAGAATATTGCTGCCACAGCTGTTTGTTTCGTGAGGGGACTGTGTGTTCAGGGTCATATGTAGTGGTAACCTTTGATTTTATGTAATTTCTGTCATGTAGGCCCCAAAAAACTCAATTTTGACCTAATCAGACCTGAGCACCTGCTTCCGTCTGCTGGAAATTGAAAACTAGTCCCTTAATGTTCTGGTTTCAGCAATCACTTTTTCTCTGGTCATTCTCTCTGTTACACATGACTATGCAGTCCTGTCATTAGTAGGCCTGTGCTGTGTATCTTTGCAGCTTCCACTGAGTTGCCAAGGACCTCTTGGCTGCTTCTCTTCAACGTTCTTAGTTTAGTTTAGGTAGGAACGTAGGTTTACTATTACGCCATACATCTTTCCATTTTCAGACAGCAGATTAAACAGTCTTATTTCAGGAGCTCATGTTATAACCTAACCCTGCTTTTAACATCTCTACAACGTTAACCCTGACATGTCTGCTCTCATCCTCGGCCTTCATGATTCTGTTTCTTCACAGAAAAACTGGATTCCTACAGAGATTAAATCACAAACAGGTGGAGTCTAATTAGCCAACTTCAAAGGGAATTGCTTCCAGGGGACTTCATTAAGGGGTTTCAGAGTACAGGGGTACGAAAGTGGCTGGAAAGTGGCATGTTGAATTGGCATGGATGCAGGTGCTGAAGTGTCTGACTGGCCAAGCTCCCGGAGTGCACAGTTGGAGCAGGTGTATGTAAGCCCTAGGCAACAAGACGGGCCTTTCACTGCCCAACATGGATGGATGGGTTCACTTTTAGCCCTTGTGTGGATGCGAGGAGGGGAGGGTAGGAGCAAAGCCACCCACCTGTAGTTCTGTAATCCCTAACCAGGAGTCGCACAGAAAAGGTTTTAAAAGAAACGGCATACATAAATGAAGTTGTACTCGAGGAGGAAAAACTGATTTTCCTTGGCTGCGAGATTAAACTAAGCTGCCCACATGAAGCGGCCGGGGCATGGAGCCCAGACATGACGTAGGTGTAAAGATGCAGCGTCTCGCTGAGTCAATCTTCATTCAGATGCAGTCGGCCTGTTGGCTTCAGATAAACTTCTCTTTATCAGAGAAAAGCAGTTCAGCATTGCGAGTCTATCAGTGCTGCCAAGGCTGTCCTGTGAGGTTTACTGCATTGTTTTTTTTTTTTTTTTTGCCCATTTTTTGGCTGTTTTTGGCATGTAGTGAGACGCAGTGGTATGAAAGCAAAGTTCAGCCAAATTTCAAATTCCTGGAAAACTTGCATTCCCTTAATCATGTAGGTTGTCAAATCAGTGCAGGGGGCTAAAAATCCAGGAAGTGTTTTTAAATATGTTCATCAAGTTGTATTGAAAAGAAGTGTTGGGTACTGATGGAATGATGCAAATCATGTCAATGTTCAGGAAACCTTCACTGGAACCTGCAAGGTGTAGAGCATCGGCGGTTTTTTAGAGGTAGATAACGTCTTAACTTTTCTGATATTTTGAAGATCCTTCATTCAGCCTGGAGGTTTTAATTCTGTTTTAAAATGTCGAACACTCGTGATCCTTGCCAAGAGCTTTGAATCTAGATTGTCTAAAATACTTTCTAACATTGTTAAAATTATATGTCACCAAGGTGACCTATTATGCTTCCTTGAACAGGTTAGGATGGGTCTGTACAAAACATGTTGCTTACATTTTTTGCACAAAATTATTCTTGGATAGTGAGACTTTAGTCTGCTCACTTTCTGAATGAACTGTTTTGGGGCCTCTTTACATTTTAAATCCAACTGAGCTGCTACTCACCCTATCCCTCAACTCAACATTTATACTTGCACCTAAAAATGTCTGCAAACAGATGCAGAATTATACAGCCATGCGTCTTTGAAAAACAGAAGTGGAGCTTGCTGCACAAGACTGTAGCGAGTGGTTTCTGGGTGGTAGATCAGCTACAAAGCACTTGTCTTTCTATTCCAGTAGTCATTGTACACAATGCAGCAGTAAAACCACCTAACCAAATGTGCTGAAGCTCAGCTTGGGTTGCTAGGTGACCGGTTACTAGCTAAGGGCGCAGTTCCTGTCAACTGGTCTTTGAAACGGCCCATTTTCCAGACACCAAAAAAAATGAATTTATTGCCAAAAAATGTCTACATGTTTTTGTTAGAAGCAGTTGAGAGCCAAATGGAAGTATAAAAATGGACAAAAAGTGAATTTTGCATAATATATTCCATTTAATACTAGTTATAAAGACTAACCACTCTGACTGAATCATTTCTAATAATTTAACATTGAAACTGAGAGGCTTTATTGTTTCGATAAACACTCTCACACACCGAACTACCAAACAAGATGTTTTATCAACACTGGTGCAGTGGGTGGAGTTACCTGCTCCTGTGGGTATGATTTACATGCATGACCTTGTTTTGAACCCCGCGGTGGAAACGTACACAGGAAATGGTTATGATGAATAACGTTTTCAGTCAATAAGACACGGAGGAAATGTTTCAGGTTTCAATGTTAAAATGAGAAGACCTTGTTGTATCTATGTTAGAGACTCTTACTTTGACGCAAGAAAGGAAGTACTGAGTTGTCCTTTGAAGACTGTACGTTGGACTGGTGGTCCAAATTGACATTGTGCCCTCTGGGAGTTGTGTTCATGATTAAACATCAAGTTACAAACAATTGAAATATTCCCCAGCCTACTTGCTGACACACCTGGCAGAGTCGGAGCCCCACAAGCAGCAATACTGCTCTAAAAATAAATCATGATCATACAGCGGAAGTCGGTAGTGCAGCTGTACTATATTGGGAAACAGTAACTGTACTCAGTCATATTCTCAAACGTATATGTATGTCCACTAATGCTCTCATGGAATTGAACAGAAAAAGCAGCAGTCTCGGTCGTATATTACCTTTATTGGGGTTAAAAAACAGAATTGATCTTTAAAATAAGTCAGAATCTTTTAGCCATGTGTT